GCCACACACGTGTTGACACGAGTGAATGGGCCTGTGGCTGTCTTGATGTGTGAATGCATGCAGTGCGCCACGTCAGCCTGGAGCCACGCGCAGCCCATCGCCACCCACATGAGCCACCGAGCAATGCACCCAGGACCAGTCGAGCAGCTCCGAGACCCTCACAAACACCGAGATGCTGCATTTCTACTGAATGCAACACAGCAGACTACACACGTTGTGGATGGATGGATGGATGTCTCCTTTGTATGCCTTTTCTCAGAGGGCTCGAAGGGCGCTCAGGGCTGACAGTGAGCAGAGTAGCCCATCGACGTCACCCCGACAGACACGGTGAGTGAGCATGAAATGCACGCGACACAGAGCTGTCGAGCGAACAACGGACTTCTGAATTTCAGACGCAGACGGGGGCGGATTCCTGACGACAGGTGGGTCGGCGGAGCGTGGAGTCAGGAATTTTTGATAACCAGCGGCGCACATGCTGGCGTCAGGTGGAGGTTTGGTGGGCCCTGCATGACACCTACATCACAGCCTTTTTCCGTAGAACCACTGCCGATGGCCAGCGGGAGGTACGCAACACGTTAGTGACAGGCGCGCTCAGCCACACACACTGACAGAAACCGCACATACGGCCGTGTGTGTGTATGTGTGTGCAGCTATGGGAACCTCTGGCGGGGCAAGAGGAAGGACACAGGGCTACCAGTTGTCATCAAACGGTTCAACAAGATGCAGCAGCAGTCAGCCCGCACAGCAGCCGCCTGAGTGTGCCACGACTGACTGCATGTGGCTTCTTTATTCCATCCATCAGGCCGGTGGCGCCACCCGAGTACACGTACGAGGTCTACGATGCCGTCTCCAAGCGCGGCTCAGCCGATTCCCGTCTCGCACGGGTCTACGAGGTCAGTGCCATGAATTACCTGCACCGCTCCTTTGTAGGTGCAAGACGACAAGGGGCAGGCGTCTGACGTCATGTGTCGGGAGATATCAAACGAGGTGGGCACATCCATGTCAGCGGACAGACTCATCAAGGTAAGCAACCATTGTGCGCCAGCGTGTGTGTATTGAGGGCATCCGGTGTATGTGACAGCCGACAAGGCGGGGCTATGGAGTCACTGATAGAGAAATACTTGCGGACGCGCGGAAATGTGGAGCAGCTGCGCGGCTATGTGGTTCAGGTCAAGGAACAGCGTGACATCGCTCGCAACGAGCTAGACACGTAAGACGGACGGGCGAGCACACTGGCTGCCACGAACGTATGCATGTCTCGTTTGGCTCTCTGTAGCTGCCAGGCTCAAGAAGATCGTGAGGCCCATCCAGGCGGCGTACGACCGGTGAAACAGGAAGATGCAGAGAGAGAGGAATGGGGCACACATGGACACCGCGTCTTTTGGTCTGATAGATTGGGCATTCAACACCAAGCCAAGACGGCTCAATACGAAGCCACGATCAAGGAGTGAGACGGAAGAAGCCAACAGACACACACCACAACGCTGCGCTTTGCAGGCTGGAGCGCAATGACAAGACGTCGCAGCTGGCCGTGTTCAACATGACCGACGTGCTGCAGGGAGACAAACTCGAGTGCGTTCCCGACAACACATCCCGACACAACACATCCCTCTTGTGTGTGTCATTGCAGGAACAACGAGCTGCTGCAGCGCACCAAGAAACCATCGCCCTCACACCCCGAGTATGCGTCGCAGGCAACGAGGCTCTCGTTTACAGCCATCCATCATGTGTGTGTCTGTGCGTGGGTATCAACAGGGACCAAGACAAAGACGAGGACGACAACTAGTTCGAAGGCGATGAAGAAGACAGGCAGCGGACAAGACAAAGACGATGAAGACGACGATGATGACGAGGAGCCGAGACGTGACGCCATCGAGCAGGTGCAGGGGATACTGCCACACATGGACCGCCAACTGAAGCAAATGGTGGAATGGGTGCACCGCCAGGCCAGCCTCATCCGGCAGGGGAAGGAGGTGATCGCCAAGAGGGGATCGGCACAGGTCAGAGATCAGAGAGAGAATGCCCACAATGGCCATCTATCCATCCATCCATCCATCAATGACTGTGTGTAATGTGGTGTGTGGTGCGCTGTGTTCAGGCCACGTTCGTGCAGAGCATGACCCCTGCGGAAGTGATGGGTGGGTGGGTGGATAAATGCATCAAGGAAACATACACGCTTGCGCACGTCTGTGTGTGTGCGTGTGTGTGTACGTTGTATGGTCTCAGAGCTCGATCTAGCTGTCATGACGGCCTGTTCGACGCTGGATATGTTGGAGGAGATGAGCGAGCAGATGAACGAGGCCGAGGCAGTCGTGTTCGACACCTGCCCCTTCGAGTGCCGCGACATGGAAAAGGCCTGCAAGACGCTCATCGGTGAGTCAAAGCACCTTACTTCATCTCAACCTACACACACAGGGGGATATGTATGTGTTGCCTGCCATCTGTGTTTGTGTGTGCAGAAACGGCCAAGAACTCGACTGGTGGGGGACGGCGGTCGTGTTAAGTGAGGTCATGTGTGTGTGGATGTATTGTGTCTGACAGAGTCCGAGAACTCCGCCGCCGCCGCCATGCGGGCACTCAACAAGTACGCCGAACTATGCAACACGGTGAGCGATTGAGAGAGTCACCGCCACACACGCTGACGGCACCATGCTGTGTGTGTGTGGTAGGTCATCAAGCTGGACCAGGACCTCTGTTGCCGTATGGAGAAGATCGAGTCACTGGACCCCACCCTCAAGAAGCAGTTCGACGATTGGCGCGCGCCATACGAAGCCCAGATAAAGCCCAGCCCTCACCGGAGACCGTAGGGTAGGAGACCGTCTCTACACAGCCGTGAGCACACACACACACACACAGGGCGGCTGGATGGCTGTGTGTGCGAGTGGATGTGTGTGGTGCAGGTGGTCGGGTATCACACCAACAAGGCCCGCCTACACATCGCACAGAAGCTGGTGGCCGACATGGTGGCCGAGGCCAAGAAAACCAAATCGACTATCGCTGTAAGTGGCTGAAGCCAAATAGCACCGCACAAAGACGGCCACACATGCGATGCGCCTGCCCTCTTTCTCTGTGTGCTTCTGTGTGCGTGTGTCACATGCTGTCTAAGGACGAGCACGATGAGATCGACGAGGAGGAGGCATCTGCAAGTTCAGGGAAAAGGAGAGTCCGTCAGAGAAAGAAATGGCCGCGTGGACTCACAGTCGTCCGCAGCATGTAAGAGGCGCCATACACTGAGCGGTAAGCGTGAATGCGGCGGTGAGGGAGTCAGACGTTGCGCACCTGCAAGAACGGCGAGAGGGAGAAGCTCTGTTCTGTAGGCGACGAAGCGTGGTCATGATGTGTGTGTGGGTGTGTCACAGAGTTTGAAAGTTATGAGAGGGAGGACCCCACTGGGCTCGTCGTGAGGAGGGAATGGCTGAGGCTGTATGAGGAGCGGGAGCATACGAGAGGTGAGAACCAACAACAGCGTCGCCCCCATTGCCTGCCTGCCTGCATGCGCGCTGTATACTGTCTGTGTGGCGTACAGAGAGCTGCTACATTTGGCAGGACATGCACAAGGGGGCCGTGGAGGGCATCGAGAATCTACTAGAGTCAAACAAGAAAATGGCAGAAACAGCGCAGGCAAACCAGGTGGGCACATATATGTCAGCGGACTCCTATGCGGCACACCTTGTCATCTGTCTGTCTGGGTGCGTGTGTGTGGTGTCCTGCGAGCAGAAGAAGCTGCTCGATATCATCAGCGGCCTCAAAGCCAAGCTACGGGAGTTGGAACAGCAGCAGGTACATTCATCTACTTGTGGCCAGACAGCCAGACACACACAGAGAAAGAGACACACACACTCTTTCGTTGTTTGTATGTTTGTTTGTGTCCACCCAGTCGCCCACCACCAGCAGCACCACCTCCTCACCACCCGCCTCCCCGTCCCCCTCCAAGAGCAGCCCCAAGCCCCGATTGAAGCAGCTGCTATGAGTCAGGGTGAAGGAAAAGAGGGAGAGGGGCATGAGGCTGTTGGGGAGGACAAGCTCGAGGGGCAGGGACTGGCTGAGCGCGCGCTCCGTGAGTGTCTGCGGCGCGTGATGACCGCATCCAGCGCCTGGAATCTGAGCTGCGGCAGACGGAGGAAACCCTGAGGGAGAGGGAGAAACAGCAGACCACCCCCCAGCCACCACCCATCCCACTCCTGCCTGCCCCAATGCCATACCCCCCCTCACACGCCCCCGACACCCACACCCAGACCGACACGGAAGAGATGGTGCAGCGGCTGCGTGTGGCCGAGCTGGACGTCCTCAAGGAGTAGCGACGCTTAAGCCTCATCGACGGCATCAGCGACGGCAACTCGCCTACACGTCATGGCACAGCGACAGCAGCAGCAGCGGCAGCAGCAGCACTCGCTGACACCGCCCTGTCGCCCAGAGATGGAGTGGGACTGGGGGTGACAGGTACGGGTGGAGAGGGGATTGGTAAGGCGCAGCCGATGCCGCCCCGTGTCGGCAACGGGCGGCGCCCCGTGTCGGAGGGGCAGGACAAGAACGTCATCCAGCCCCGTATCGGCGCCAAGGGGGAGGTGCTAGTCGGTGAGCATTTGTGCGGGGAGTGAGTGACGTTGCACACTCGCAAGAGAGGCGGGAGGGAGGGAGGAGCTCTGCTCTGTGGGAGGGAACGTGGCCATGATGGTATGCGCTGTCTGTGTATGCTGCAGAGATAAGGAAATACGACGACGTGGCCCTCATCAAGCTGTACGAGGACAGGAAGTATCTGTCTGGTGAGGACACAACACCAGCATCGAACCCACTGCCTGCCTGCCTCCCTGCCAGCATCCATACGCGTCGCATTGTCCTGTCTGTGTGGCGTGCAGAGCGGTGCAAGACGTTGCGGGACCTGCACAACGGGGCTGTGGACGGCATCTGCAATCTGCTCAAGAGCAGGAGGTCCATCTGTGAGAGGGCCAACGCCAACCAGGTGGGTACATATGTGTCGACACAGCCGTATACGGCACACATTCTCATCTGTCTGTCTGTCTGTCTGAATGTGTTTGTATGGTGTGGTGTCCTGAGTGCAGAGAAAGCTGCTGGAGAGGATTGACGGCCTAGAGGCAAAAATAAAGGAGCTCGAGTGGCAGGTACGTCTATCTACTTGTGGCCAGACAGCTAGACCCACACAGAGAAATAGGCAGACACACTCTTTCCTTGTTTATTTGTGTCCACTCAGTCGCCAGCCACCAGCAGCAGCACCTCCTCACCGCCCCCCGTCCAAGAGCAGCCCCACCGCCCCACAGACATACAGCGGAGAAAGACGCATGTACGCATGCACACACGCAGAGAGAATGTGAATGCTTTGCAGAATGAGCATTTCTCTCCCCCTCTGTGTGTGTCAGGTGTGAAGGAGTTGAAGGCCCAGGAGAGGGCTGATTGTCCACCAATATCGCTGCCCACATTTTATATTCTGCCGTCTGTTGTCTGGAGTGTACCATCCCGCCCCTCCCCAGCGGCCCCGACCTTCTCAGACAGGTGCGTACGCCAGAGACACAGACGAACACCACAGGCTGAGAACAAACAGGTCACACACACACACACACACACACGGAAGCCCCCATTCATTGCGTTGCTAACTAATGTCGCTCTTCAGCTGGAGCAGTTGAACCGTGCCCTCCGCGAGGAACTACAGAAGGCCCGCAGCGAGACCAATAAGGTAGACACACACTTGGGCGAATGCTTCACCCATCGACCTCCTTCATCTGTCTGATCGATGCCCCTTCCTCTTTCACCCCACGTCTGCGTCTGCAGGTAGCCGCACTAGAGAGGGACTTGCAGGCGGCCCGTGACGCAAAGGCCAAAGCTGACCACGACACACAAAAGGTAAGTAAGGTGGGCAGGGGGCACTATGCTGGGGGGAATGGTGTCCAGTGCAGCTTCTTTTATGTGTGTGTGTGTGTCGCTGGTTGGCTGTTTGATGCATGGCATGCAGTCCGTGTATCGTATGATCAACTTTGTCCACCCACGTCCACCCCCGGAGTCGATCCTTTGCCGTCAAGACACCCAGAACGGCCCTCATCTCTGACCTGGTGGGCGAGGCGAGGCGAGGCGACACACAGACAGAGAGACAGAGAGACAAGCCCGCACGCAGACAGACAGACAAACAGAATGTCTGTGTGTGTGTGTGTGTGTGGTGTAGGCGCAGTTAGGAGCTCACGTGGCGATGCTGGCGGCAGACAGGCTGGAGTGCTGCAGCCCCCCTGTCCTGAGCTGCACGTCCCCTGTGGTGGAGGCGTATGTCACCGAGTGGCAATCGGGTCAGATTTGCCACTGTCTTCCTCGGCAGAGTCGCCACACGGTATTTATGTACTTACTGTATGTGTGAACC